TGACAATGCAGAGCAGCTGCATGTCCAGAAGCGCAAGCGCCTCCTCTCCCTGGATCAATGCCATGCCATGCCATGCCATGCCAAGAGCTCCAACCACAGCTCCAGCCGGCGTTCTGATTGGACCGCGGCAACTATGGCCAACCAATGCGCCAATCAGCGCGCGACAACAATGGCCAATCACGGCTCGATGGTCTAGGGGTATGATTCGCCGTTCGGGTCGGCGAGGTCCCGGGTTCAAATCCCGGTCGAGCCCAGACACTTCTCTTTTGCCCACGACACGCTGTCCCAGTGCTGCACTGTCTCTGCCCTGCTCTGCCCCAGAGCGCGAGTCACGACCTGATTCGTTGCCACGAAACGAAGGCGGCGAGATGGGATTGCCACCGCCGCTGCCGATGGGCCGCCGAGAGATCGCGGAATCGAGGAACCGTAGCAACTGGGAAATCCCTTGCATTTAACAAGGCTAGCCTCGCTAACGTAGCGATACATGCTCTTTGAGACGGGTGCAAGTCAGAAACACGCAGAGTTGTATATCTGATCACCTGCCTGAATATCACTTATTGCTGCAGCCTCACGTATCCTGTGCGTGTGCTAAATTATGTCTAGATAACCTGGCCTTCTTGAAGATCACAGCTCTAAATATTTAACATACAAACTGTGCGGCTCGTTGCTATGCTGCCGATGCACATACAAAGACAGCGCCACATTCGCCAGCAGCCGAGCAGAATCACAATACCGGGCGAGCCAGATTGCTCCTCCGCTCGCTCCTCTCCATTCCACTTTCCCAGTCACCGGCATGACCGAGGGAGGGATGACTCTCGCTGAGAGCCGAGAGTGCTTAGCAAACTGGGCTCCACAACCAACCTTGTTGTGAATCGGCATCGATTCTTTCAAAGGCTCGCTCGAACAGACGACGTGGTTAGTCTCGCACATGCAAAGAAGTATACACACGTGCAAAGAAGTACACACAGGAATCCACACAGGAATCCACACACATATTCACACACATATTCACACACATATTCACACACATGTATCTCCACGCATGCCGGAGCTGCGGCGCAATTGGAGACACGGCCGAGCAATGCCTAGGAAGCAGATGCATCATCCCGCATTCCCCGCCATTTCAAAGAGCCAGCCATGGCGTGCTTGGCGGTGGCGAGCAGCGATGTTGGCTTGCAGGGCCACTGTGTTAGGACGGCAACGACGAGGCGGTTCAGACGAGCACAGTGCACGACACGAGCGAGCGAGAATGGAGGATTTGTTGAAAATGTTTGCTTGGGAGAAAGACGGGGGAAGACGGAGACAGACAAGGAGAGTATTTGTGAAGCGAGAGATCGAAGAGGAGAGCTTTAGATAATTGTTACACACCAGTCATGCCGGTGGGACATGGCAGCTGGCGAATACCTGTCATCAGCCCGGCTAGCTCAATCGGTAGAGCGTGAGACTCTTAATCTCAAGGTTGTGGGTTCGACCCCCACGTCGGGCTATGTTCTTTTGCCTGCTGCCGCCAACCGCGTGACCGCCCTCTTCGCATGTCACAAACAACAGTCCCAGCCACCAAGACGGTCAGTGCGGATATCCCGGCCATACCAGCCACAGCTGCCGTGTTTGTGTTTTTGCCGGCACGCATGAAGGCGAGTGAAGCGTCGCAGCCCAGAACAGTGGCTGCGGCTGGCTGCGAGAAATCTAA